ATCTTCACTTTCATTGAGGCGGTTTTTTACAACTTTCAATGGAATTTTTGATTTCCTGTATGTCTCTTTGCATCTGCTTTATATATGGTTTGTTTCTTACATTGTTTATCTAGGAATTCTATCTTTTTGTTTAGTTTCTCCAATTTTTTAACTGTGTCTTCTTTAGATATGTTCAGCATCTCCTTCATTTCTTTTATCATTTCTTCTTTTACCTGAGAGATTATTTCTAGTCTGAATTCCTTTAAGACTTCCCAGAGTTGCTTCTTTATTTTAGTTACTATTATTTCAGGTATTTCAGGTATGTGGCCTGTATTTTCTTCTATGTACATGCCTCCTAGGTGTTCTTGGGATGGGCTGGATGTTTGAGATTGCATTTTGGTCTTTCGTTTTGTCATTTTCCTATATTTTCAAGCTTCAGGTGTTGTTCTAAACTTCCCCTCGGCCTCTTGGAAAGTGTCTCTTATGTCCTGGACTCCTGGGACTCTTCTGGTAGTGTAGCTCCCTCCTTGGGCAGCTAAGCCCCCAGATTAAGAGAAAGTTGCCAGGCTCCTCTCAGGTAGACCTAAAGCCTCCTCAAGCTATACAGCTCCCCACTGTGGCAGCAGAGCTTCCCTCCTCAGCAGGGCAGCTCCTTCCTCCAGGCGGTGGCAGTAGTGCTGGAGCTCTCCAGGCCGAAAGAAGGTCCCAGGTAAAGTCGGAGCAGTTTCCCGCAGCTTGGCCCAGTTCCTTCCTTCAGGTGGGGCAGCTGCCGTGTGCCCTCCGGGTGAGAGAGGCAAGGCTGTAATGGGGTCTCGTGGCTCGGCCAGGACCAGGCTCACTGTTCCCTGCAGGAAGCCATGGCACGTCCCCAAGGCGAGAGAAAGGTCCGACAGGCTAGGATGTTTTTAATTCTTCTGGGAAGATTCACAGAAGGGGAATAGCTGGGTTAAATGCAACATGTAATCCTAAATTTTGTTTTGTTTCATTTTGCTTTTGATGCCAGAAATTGAACTCAGCACCTTGTGCTTGCCAGGCAGGCACTATAAAAATCCTAGTTGTCTAGGAAATCTCCACACTGCTTTCCACAGTGGTTGTACCAGTCTACACTCCCACCAACAGTGGGAAAGTGTTCTTTATTCCCCACAGCCCTGTCAGCATTTGTTATTCATTGATTTATTGATGATAACATTCTTTCTGGAATGAGATGGAATTTCATTGTTTTAATTTGCATCTTTTGAATAACCATTGATGTTGAACATTTTTTCATACATCTATTTGCCATTTGTATGTCATCTGGAAAATGTGTATTCATCTCACTCATTTTTTGATTGGGTCTTTGAATATTGGTGGCCTGATTTGTGTGTGTTTATGTGTGTATATGTGTATTTGAGACAGAGTCTTGTTATATACTTGAGCTCACTTTGTAGCCCAGGCTGGTCTTGAACTTGCAATGATCCTCCTGCCTCAGTCTCCTGAGTGCTGGGATTACAGACATGCACCACCCCTCTGCTTACAGGCCTGATTTTTTCAGTTCTTAGTATGTTCTAGGGCATTGTCTGAGGGACCACTGGCCATAAGTTTGGGTTGTCTTTTCACTTTTTTCCCATTCTGCATTGTCTTTTCACTTTGTGGGTGATTTCTTTTGTTGCGCAAAGCTTTTTTTCCCCTTCAAATCCATTTTATTTCAGACTGAAAAAGAAAAATATAGAAGAAGAAGAAAACTAAGACAAAATTTCACAACAGGTCATTCAGGTGGCAAAAACTATTTAATAAAGTGAGATTTCGTTCATTCTTTGTTGTATTTCCCATGCAATCTGGGTTTTGTTCATGGAATCTCTGCCTACACTTATGTCTCCAAGATTTCTACCTATTTTCTCTTCCAGCGGATTTAGTGTTTCTGTTTTAATATTTAGATCTTTGATCCATTCTGACTTTTCTGTAGTGCATTGTGATAGACATGGATCTACTTTTAGTCTCCAGCATGTGGAAAACCAGTTTTTCCAGCAGAGACTACCTTTCTTCCAGTGAACACATTTGGTTTTTTCATTGGAGATAAGGTGGTTTAGTGTGTTTGTATTTGTCTGCATCTTGTATTTTATTCCACTGACCCTCAGGTTTTTGTTTTTTTGTTCTTTTGTTTTTTTTTTTTGTTTGTTTGTTTGTTTGTTTTTTTGCCAATACCATGCTGATTTTATCACAGTAGCTTTGCAATATAATTTCAGGTCAGGGATTGTGATGTCCCCCGACTTGCTTTTGTTGCCCAGATTTGCTTTTGCTATTTTAGGTCACTTTCATTTTCAAATGAAATTTAGAAATGTTCTCTCAGTTTTGTGAGGTATGCTGATGGTGTTTAGATCAAGAGTGCATTAAATCTGTATAACAGTTTTGGGAGTAAAGGTCTTTTCACTATGTTGGTTCTTTCTATCCATGAGCAAGGGACATCTTTCCATTTTCTTTTCTTTCCTTATTTGTGTGTGTGTGTGTGTGTGTGTGTGTGTGTGTGTGTGTGTGTGTGAGTGCACATGCCAGGGATCGAACTCATGACATCGTGTTTGCCAAGCAGGCACTTACACCCCTGAGCTAAACCCCCGGCCTGTCTTTCTATCTTCTAATGGTTTCATCTGTCTCTTTTCCCAGAGTACTGTTGTTTTCAATGTATAGATAGTTTACTTCTTTTGTTAGATTGTTTCCTCAGTATTTCATTTCTTTGGATGCTATTGTAAAGGTCATTAAGTATATTTAATATCAAAAAAGTGAACAAAAGTTAAGCCTCTCTCCCTTCTATCCTTGCTTGCTGGCATTCTATCAGCTTCCTCCAGATCAGCAAGATCCTTCCCTCCCCTGTGCATATGTGAATGTCCTGTTTCATGTACAGGGTAGCATTTCAGTTCCACCCTTCTGAAAATTTCTCTTTGAAAATATTCATTATAAAATATTTAAGACAAACAAACATGTAACCAACACCTAAGCTGCATTGGCTCCTCCCCTGCCCCCAGGAAAAGTCCAGGCCTTTTGAGGATAGAGACTGGGCTAGCACAGCACAAGAGCTGCAGGCTGGAAAGAAGTCTGGGTGCATGGAGGAGGGGCATTGGGGAAGGCAGACTCCCACCTGCCATTTCTCCCTGTTTCCCAAGAGACATCCATTTCTGTGTTGGTGTGGGAAGTCTCTCTCTGCTTCATTATTGAAAGCTTTAGAAATAAGTGCAAACAAGGGCAAACATGGAAGCAGCCACAATGTCCATCAGGGACTAAATAGATAAACAAAAAGTGGTATATACCTACTGTGGAGTATTATTCAGCCTTAAAAGGAAGTTGTGACACTTGCTACAAAGACTAACTGAAAACATGCAGAGTAAAGCAAGACATTCTAAAGAGACAAATGCTCCCGGGGATGGTGGTGCAAGCCTGGAATGCCAGCACTTGGCAGGCTGCGGCAGGAGGATCACCACACGTTGAAGGCCAGTGTGGAACCCTGTCTCAAAAAAATACAAATAATTCATAGTCCCACTTATACTATGTAACAAGGATTGTAGTAACTTATAGGGAGAAAAGAATGGTGGTTTCCAGAGCTAAGAGGAAGAGGGGGAAGAAGAGTTTCTATTTAATGAGGATAAAGTTTCTCTTTGGGAGAACTATAAATGTTCTGGTAGTTGAGAGTGATGATGGTCTCACAAATTGTGAATGTCTTTATTATAACTGAACTGTGTATTTTAAAATGGATAAGATGTTAAATTTATTTCACAAATATTTTACCCGAGTAAAAAATTAAAAAAAAAAAAAAAACTAAATGCCCCAAGCACAACCCTGGAAAGTTTCCTTGAGTACTGGTCCACACTAAATTACCAACACCTGGCACCATGTAGGTGCTCCATGCAGAGCAACTGTTTGTGAGCCCCAACCTACTTCTGCTGATTCTGAACCTGCACTACCATTCAGACCAGCTGAAAAGTTGTTTCTCCCAGGAAGGCTGCCAGGCCGAGTTCTCTACTTCCAAGGGGACCACCAGAAGCTGGCCTTCTTTAGGAATATAAGTATGGGGGCTGGGGGTATGGTCAGTGTTAAAGTACTTCCCTTGCATGCCTGAGACCCACAGTTCAACCCCCAGCATGGGACATGAAGTGGGAAAATGCACGGAGTGAGTGGTGTGGCGAGAGTGATATAATACTCTATTGGCATCAGATTAGGGGTGGTGTCACAGGTCACTTGACCCTGAAATCAAACAGGATTAGCCGTGGCAAAGATCAGAGAGGACTTCCTTGCTATGCCTGGGCCTGACCCTGCTGCTCACACAAGCACCAGCAGGGGCTGACCTTTACCTGCCTTCTTCCTTCACCAAGAAAGGGCACTGGAGCCAAAGGAGAGGAGCTTGGTGGCCTAAGGATTTTGAGTATGTGCATGAGGCCAGAGCTTTGGGTGTGGAAGCAGGAGAAGGACCAAGGGCAGAAGGAAACTGGGCGAGCCATGGGAGTCCAATGCCAACTGAGCCCTGGGGCTGCACTTTGATGCTAAAGAGAAGCCATGGAGGGCTTTAGTAGAAAAGGGAACCCAGCCAGCCTTATCTTTAGTAGGATGAGGCAGAGGGTGAACACAAATGGACTGGGAAGAAAAGGGTCTCTTTTTCCGAGTCCCATAGACAAGAATTAGAAGAGCTAATCCATTCTGTGCCCCCAGTACTGAGCAAGTGGTAAATGCAGACTGCCTGACTGGGAGAGGGACCGAGACAGAGTGACAGCTGGGGTCAGGAATCCAGGTGCAGGTTGGGGGTGGGTGGCATGATTTTGAGACCCACCTGGGCTCAACCCATGCACCAGCGTGGCTCTGGGTTGGCCATGTTCCCTCTCAGCACCCACAACTACTTCATGGCGGAAGGATGGAAATAAAGCTGGGCTTCCTGCTGGAGTCAAGAATAGTACAGGATGGTGCTGCCAGTGCAGGCCTCGCGGCAGAGACATTCTGGTCTGGGGAGTGTCCCTGTACTGTTCACAGACCTGGGATCCCTCATGCTCTGCTTCCCTCTCCAGGCCTGACCTCCCTCGGGGTCTTTGTAGGCCTCCTGTTCACTAGGTTCTGGCTCTTGACTGTGCTGTACGCCTTCTGGTGGTTCCTGGACCGAGACACGCCGTGGCAGGGGAGCGGGCACAGAGAGAGCTACAGGCGCTTTGTCATATGGAATTACATAAGAGACTATTTCCCAATCTCGGTGAGTATTGAGCTACTTTGAGGTGGGGGGACGGGATCCAGAACTCCACATCTTTGTGGAACTAGTGGCCCTGTGTGCAGTGAGCAGAGCACCAGGCTGGGAGATAGGAGCCTGTACTTCCCCCATCATGTGGCTGGGGTGAGTAGGGTCCAGCCTGTCTCTGGCAATGGTTTCCCAACTACTGGAATATAGGGCCAATGAGAGAAATTTTTTGTTCCAGGGATCAAACTCACAATCTCAGGCTTGCCAGGCAGGCACTTATGCCGCTGAACCAAATCTCCCCCAACCAATGAGAGGATTTAAATGAGCTCTGTGGGATGCATCATGTCCAACGCATGAGTTGTGAAAGCACAGTTCCATCGGCAACCCAAGTTTGCATTCATGTGATAAACTGTAGGTTGTAAGAGACCTTTTACACTTCTCAGATGAGGAGGCTGAGACACAGAGAGGAACACAGGTGGGGTCAGGGTCACATAGCAAGTTGTCTGGCAAATATTGAAGTCTCTATTGGCAAAGCTAAGGAAAGAGGTAACAGAGCCATCAGAGTCTTCAGGTTCTGTCCTGTCCCTCTTTCTGGTTCTGTGTGTTCATGGCAAGGCCTTTGCCTTTTCTGAGCCTCAGGCTTCCTTTGGGTCCAGTTTGCAGACATGTCCTCCTACTGTGAGTGTCCTCAGCTCTCTGGCTGTCTGGCCCATCAGACCTCCAGGCCTTGGACTTGAAGGCTGAGCAGACTCTTCCACTGAAACACCAAACCCTGATTTAATCTAGGCAGCAAAAGCTTTGTTGTCCAGAGGGCATAGGATGGGAAGATCCTGGAGACACAAGAGAGCCCAGGCAGGCACGGCTGGCTCTCCTTTGGAAACAGGACAGAGTAAATGGGACCTCTGAAACCAGAAACACACTAGATTCTGATCTCAGGTCTGCCATATAGCACCTGTGTGACTGTGGATGAATTCCAGAGTCTGTCTGAGCCTGTTTTGTCACCTGTAAAATGGAAATGTTGCCAGACACTTCCCGAGTAGCATTTATGCAGTTGAGACAGAGAAGGCAAAGGACTGCCAGTCCTCAGGACACTGGTGCAGTATTATTTCACTGAGTCAGTGGGACTCTGAGGAACCCTGGGCATGGCTATGGTGGGAGGGGTCTCGGGGAGCCTGGTGCCTTCACCTCTGCCTGGCTTCTCCCACCCTGTGCACAAACCCAGCTATTCCTGCCTTTCCAGGAATTAGGCCTCCAGTTGGGGAGAGAGTGGAGGAAGTGGGTTCACAGAGGTTAAACAACTGCCTGAGTCCCAGGCACTTTGCAGCAAAGTCAGGTATCTTGCCGGGCTTCCTTGTGCAGGCCCTAGGCCCTCACAAGGGCTGGCAAGATCTGAGTGCCAGCCGTAGCCCCTACACCCTGGTGAGTGGGACCTCCAGAGCAAAGACCAAGTGGGAGGGGCAGGGTAAGAGAATGGGCTGGCTTAGACTGATTACCCACCCTGGGTTCATGGGTATCATAGGTGTCGAAGGGCAGAAGACCTGCACTAGCTTGGGAGAATCAAGTTGGGGGCTGTTTGCCCACCCCTCAAATGTGCTTTGTCTGCAGGGTCCACTCCTGGTATCTTGTCAGCAAAGATAAGTCAGGGCTTGCTGGACCCCAGGAGCAGCCAGGATGTCTCATGGGCAGAGTCCCCTGTCCCTACCCCTGGACCTGTGAGCATTGAGATCCTGAACTTCCTTCCCTGCTTCACATCTCTCCAGCCTGGGGCTCCTCATTCTTTGTCAGGACTATCAGGCTTTGCCTGAGAAAATATAGCCTTAGTGCAAAAAGACAATTTTTTTGTTGAGGCAGGGTCTCTGTGCAGTTCAGGCTGGCCTTGAACTCACTTGTAGCCCAGGCTGATCTCGAACTTGCAACAATCCTCCTGCGTCAACCTCCCAAGTGCTAGGATTACAGGCATGAGCCACCTCATCTGGCTCAAAAAGACATTTTTATCTGCAGCACTGGCAGAAGGAATGCTGAAGTGGTGGCACTGTCCTTTTTGTTCCTTCCCCAGCCCTTGAAGAAGCTTCTTAACTTCTTCACTGCTGACACTGACAGGGCATTAGTTGATTTTGCAGAAACCAGTTGCACAGTTTTTCAGGTTTGTTCCATACCCTTTGCAACACTTCTGCCAAACATGAGCATTATCACTGAATGACCAGGAGAGGGCCAGAGGCTATTCACCTTAGCTTGGCCCTCCTGAGCTGCACACCTGCAGGGCTGGGCTCTGGCCTGCAGACTCCCTGGCCCAGACTTCCTAGGACACTCTCCCTCCCATCTGTACACCTTTACAGCACAGCCCATGCAGTGCCCTTGGACTCAGCAGGAGGTCAGTGACCTCAGCTCTGTTGAGCTCCCCTTCCACTCCCCATCACTTGCATGCAGTCCTCCCATGATAGTTTCTGAGCTTCCATTGCTTCTCACTGTGACTTTAGGAACTAGCTCCTAAGGATGAAATTCCAAGCGAAATGAGGAAACCGCTACACGAAAGTTACCCATCTGCTTCCTAAAGAGCTAATGGTAGTGTCAGGCTAAGCTCTGAGTGGAGAAAGCTGTTCCTACTCCAGGCCAAAGTGGCCCAAGAGCTGGGAGTCCCTAGCTGCAGAGGTTTCATGGTCCAGCACAAACACTGTATACATGGGCCAAAGCCTTGAGGTGGGGTGGGGGCCAAGTTCTCTGACCAGGTCTGTTACTGAGGGTCAGGAAATGCTGTCCTTAACATGCTAGTCACTGTCACAACCAGATGTGGGGCAGGACAGGAACTGCTCCCCCACCTCCCTGCCCTTGCACCTTCCAGCCCTCCTCCTGGGGGCTCTGTCAGCCTTTTCACCACTGACATTTGGAGCTGGTTGACTCTTTGTTGTGGGGACTGTCTTCAACCCTAGTGTCCGTTCACGCCAAGCAGCACCACCTTCTCCCTGTTCCTACAAGTAAAATTTACCTGCAGATACTATGAAATGTCTCCATCAAGGGGCAGAAGGCAATGAACTTGCCATGATTGACAACCAGTGCTCTAAAGCCCAGGGTCTGGGCCCTAAAGTTCCCATCCTGACTCCTTATCCTTCTTCTATACTTTTTTTTGGCTTTTTGAGACAGAGTCTCGCTGTGCTGTTCAGGCTGGCCTTAAGCTTACTTTGTAGCCCAAGCTGACCCTGAAATCACAAGGATCATCCTGCCATAGCCTACCGAGTGTTGGGATTACAGGAGTGTGCCACCACACCCAGCTCTCATTCTCCTCTACTCATGAGTCCTGACCCCAGTCATTTCTTTTTCTGGACTCCAAATCTTCCAGCACCCCCAAAGGAGTTTTCCTTGGAGCCGAACTTATTTCTTATTGCAACTGCAAACCTCACCTGCCTCTTCTTTCCCCTCACTGTTCCAGTGTCCTGGTCATGAGCCATGTCCCTGTACCAGTGCCCACCGCATAATCCCACTCCCTGCCTACAGCGATGCACACAGGGAGCGGACTGTGTGGGTTACATAAACATGGAGCCTGGTCACCTGGATTCATACCCAGGCTCTGCTATGTGACCTGGAGAAACTTTGCTGTGTGCCTCAGTTCCCTACATCTGTGACCTGGGGTAGTGATATCAACACTCCCCCCCCCCAGGGTGCTGAGGAGGAAGCAAATTGGTGTATTCCAGGTGGCACAGAGTGGGTGCCAGGAATGCCTCCCACCCTGTGCCCCCAATTCTGCAGTACCCTCTGTTGCAGATCATACAGTGGGTTATGTACCATTAAGCAAAATAAAACTAAAGAGGACCCCAAGGTGCAGCTTGATTCAGAATGTGTAGGCCTAGGGGAAAAGGTGCCGTTGAGGGCTGAGGGAATGTGTGTAGGTGTCAGAGGGTGTCTGTTGAATGACTGGATGGCTGTGGCAAAGTGAGAGGGTGGGCAGGCCTGAGAACTTTGATAAAAACTAGAGAAGGCTGAAGGGTGACCCCAGTCCAAAAAGAAGCTACTGCTACAGCCAGAGAAATAATGGAAGCCTTTCCATCCAAACTTTGTCATGCTGAGAGGAGACAGGGAAGGAGCCCAGTCCCTGCATATGTACTCAGGCACTACACAGTCCCATGCCAAGGCCAGCACTAGACCTACTGAATCAGGTGCTACTTGCTGGGCATTTTTAATTTTCCAAGGGACCTAAGGACACAACAGGACCTGCAGCAGCCAGAGGCAGCTATGGAGGCAGCAACCACCTTCTCCCAGCCGGGGCCTGAGGCCTTGAACCTCATATGTTTCACTAGAAAGTTCCAGACCCAACCCTGAGGCCCAGGTAATCTTTTTGATCTGCAGCAAAGGCTTTTGGCTCGTAAGCTTTCTTTGTGCTCACCAAGAGGTCACAAACTCAGATCCTAGTGTCCTGTTTTGCTTAACTCCTTTGTGTACCACTATGCTTAGCAGTAAAATGGGGCTAACACTGTAGCTGGCTCCCTAGAACCGTGATGAGTGATAAACAAGCCAACAACATGGGTGCTCTGTGTGTCCTGAGCACAGCAGGCACTGGAGCATTCTAGTCATGCCAACAGTGTGAGAGGGCACAAGGCACTTGTGGCAAGATGGGGCTGGACAGACAAGGCAGAGGTCTGCATGGCGCTGTTGACTAAGTAGGTACTCATCGAGGAGAAGCCTGAGATGAGAGGGAAAAACTTTGCCCAAAGCCAGTACTAAATCTGTAACACAGCCAGCACCGTGCTGAGACTGTCTGGATAAGAAGCCAGGGCAGTGAGACAGGAGGATGTAGAGTCTAAGGCTCACACAGCACAGCACCTTATCCAGTGCTGTGGATGGCTGAGTCAGGATTGGTGCACAGGGCATGGTTTGGTTCACCAGATTACTGTCCCTGCAGCTGATCAAGACTGCTGAGCTGGACCCCTCCCGGAACTACATTGCCAGCTTCCACCCCCATGGGATCTTGGGGGTTGGAACCTTAGTCAACTTGTGCACTGAGAGCACAGGCTTCTCCTCGCTTTTCCCTGGCATCAAAACCCATCTGATGACGATGAACATTCTTTTCCATTTCCCAGTCTTCCGAGATTGCATCTTGGCCTTGGGTGAGTCTCCCTACCTAGGAAACCTCAAGAAGACGAGGCTGATGGTTTAAGTAGAAGGACATCTTAGGGAGGGGATGCAACAGTTCTACAGTTCTTCCAAAAGCATGTGCAGGAGGCCAGATCCAAAGAACTCCTTGTAGCACTGTGCTGGGAGGACTCTTGCCTGAAGTGGGGCACCATGGTGGAACCCGGACCTCTTACGCTACTGGTGGTTTTCTTCTTGGGCACCCCTAGCCTCACAGTCTTGCTCACTCAATCCACCTTCTTCTCCTGCCAGGGGCAGTCTCTACAGACAAGGAGAGTGCTGCTCACATTTTGACCAGGAAGGGCAATGGGAACCTGCTGGCCATCGTCGTCGGGGGAGCTAAGGAAGCACTGGAGGCCAGGCCTGGATCCTACAGGCTGATACTGAAGAAACGCAAGGGCTTCATCAGGCTTGCCCTGACCCACGGGTACAGGACCTCAGGGGATAGCACTTGGGGTTCAGTTGGAGATTGGCAAGGATTACATTTTGGTAGGAAAAGAGCAAAGACTATCAGAGATTCTAATGTGGCTGGGAGACTCTTGGTCCATCCACAATGAAGATTATATTTTGGTATTTCGTGCCCAAGAAGTGGATGTGTTCCCCAAAACTGATACAAGAGCTGAGACTAACAGGATCTGGAAAAATGGGGTTGAAGCATATGGCAAAAATGTTACCCTGCCTTGGAGTGGAGCATATTTGAGAAATGTGAGCCAGCTAGTATGGGAGAGATTTTTCTAGGAGCAAAATTCAGGTGTTTTATCCAAGGGAGTACTGTCTATAGCACTCTGGGGTACTGTCATGATGCAAGTAGGAAGTTGCAGGCCTGAGAGGACACACCAGTTCAGAGAGGGGGTTGTGGCAGGTCTGGGAGCTGATCCAGGCCCCCTGGTTCCATCCCAGGCTTCTGTCCTGTACTCCAGTCCTGGTCACTGAGTTCCTGTAAGAAGCTTGATGATCTTGTAGTTTATGGCACCTTTTATTTCCCCTGTATGTAGAGCAGCCCTGGTGCCAGCCTTCTGCTTTGGGGAGAATGACCTATTTCATCAGGTTCAGAACTCTTCTGGCTCCTGGTTGCGCCGTGTCCAGAATTGGCTGCAGAAGATCATGGGCATCTCCCTCCCACTTTTCTATGGCCGTGGTATCTTCTGGTACAGCTTTGGGTGGATGCCTCACCGTCACCCTGTCACCACCATAGGTAAGCAAAGACCAAGGCCAGTAGGTCCGGGACACAGGGAGAGGACACTGTGCTATGTGCTGCAAGGGGACATGGAGATGGGATAGATACAATCCTACCCTCTCGGGGATCACGGTTTAGACTGGGCAACACACACACACACACACACACACACACACACACTAGCACATGCACACAGCAGAAAACTCTAAATAAGGAAGGCTATGGTAACAACTGTAACAGACAGCAAGAACCATACTCACTACTGATTGCTGAGCCCCTACCATGGGACAGGGACCACACCTCCTGGCCTAGGTGCAGCAGCTCAGTTTCTTCTAACAATCTTTGAAGCAGGGAATTCATCCCTTGAAGCAAGATTTCAGTCATTATTATTCTATTTATAATTCACAATTATTTCATTGATGGTGAACTGAGGCTCAGAGAATTATGTGCCTAACAAAAGATCATACTCCCTTTGAATAACAAACTTCATGTTTGAATCAGGATCTAACTTCCTATTATGCCAAAGAAGGAAGATTTAAATCTCAACTAGTGGACCTAATGAGGCAAATTTGAAGGAACCAGATACCAGGAATGCATTGTAACCATATCATCACTGTGTGCAAAGTAGAAATTCATAGTTTCTGAATTAAAGCCTGAGGTGCTGAGTGAACTTCCTGTGCTGAGTGAACCTGAGCTTAAATGCATAAAGTTATTGCCATCTTTTTCACTAACTGGGCTCCTCCTTTGGTGTCTTCTTGGATTCCAACTAAGGTTCTCTGACAAATTTTTCAGACAAAAGGTCCATTTGCCTCACCTCCACCCATGCATTTATTTGTTAGTTGATCCCAGATTAGGGAATCCTCTACATCATGATGTTCCCTGAATCATCTGACCAAACCTCCATGAATTTTAATCCTGCTGCTGCCTTCAGTCATGTTTCCAAGAAAGAACTGGGGAGCTGCCTTCCTAGCCAGGCAGACACACAGAAAGGTTAGGCCTTTCTGACTGCCCAGTGTGATGGGAGGGGGTCTGCAGGTCAGGATGCAGGGCAGTAGGTGAACAAGAGCCAATCTGGGCTTTGAGCCTCCCAAAACCTAGAAATACAGAGACTGCAAAGGGTGGACCCCCAGAATCAGACAACCTGGAGGCCAGGAGAATACCTACAGGATTAAAATCTGCTATAGCTTATTGCTTATGTGAACTGAAACTGGGCACTAATCTTCTTTGACACTCATTGCCTCACCAGGCAAGCAGGAATAGTGACAGGTTTTGTTCCCATAGGATTTTAGGAGAGAACACACGTTAAGCACAAACCATACTGCCTGACACACTGAAAGCTGGACATTGATAAATCAGTCAGAAACTCAGGGTTGCCCCGCTACCTCAGGATCTATCACCTGAATTTAGGGTGGGAAGGGATAGCAGTAAGAGCACTTTCCTGCCAAATGGCCTGCTCTAAGGGCTCCTGTGACCCCTGTGGTTCCCACTCTGGACCCCTGCCCACCTCTGTTCCTTGCAGTGGGGAAGCCCATTGAGGTACAGAAGATCCTGCAGCCTACAGAAGAGGAGGTGAACCAGTTACACCAGCACTACATGGAGGAGCTGTGCAGCCTCTTTGAGGCCCACAAACTCAAGTTCAACATTCCTGCTGAGCAACACTTGGAGTTCTGCTGAGCGCTTCCAGCCAGAGGAAGGATTACCACAAGGTCAGGGCCAGCTGTTCAGTGCCCAGGAGGTGGAGCACAGACTTCTGCCAATCCAACCACATCTGTAGGCATGAAGGAGAAGACCAGACTTTGCCAGCTCTGGTTTGCAGCCTTGCACCAAAGGGGACTGCAAGTTTCCCCCAGTGCAGTGTGAAAGGCTTGAGAAGGGATGATTTGTGAGACCTCCATCCTCTGTTGTCATGTCACTCCAAGAGTATAAAAAGTATAAAAGCAGAAGAAGAGAGCAATGACGTTTTTCTTCTTCTACCTCTAAATGATAACACAAAGGAAACCACCAGCCAGTCCTTTCCCCTTGATGCCCCCTCATCCTGTACCCTGATGTCCCTTGCTCCTCAGATTGGAAAGTGAGGGAGCGTCCAGTAAGTCCTGCACTCACCCTGAACACCTTTGTGTTTCTGGGTCCTCTGAGCTCTGAAGGGGATGTGACTTTAGTCAGTCTTCATTCTCCTCACCTCAGTTTACCCAACTGACCTAGGTGAACTCAGAGTCTCACTTCTGACATCACACAAGCCAAGGGCTCCATGAGGGCACCTCTTACTCATCTTTTGTGACTCCAACTCCAGATCTGGGCCAGATCTGGGCACAACTGGAAGGCTCTATAAATTATAGCTCAATGAATGAAAGGATTCAGTTTTAGTTCCCTTTTTTCTTACACATCTCAACAAAATGTGGCTGGCCGAAACCTGAGATCTGACCACCAACCTGACACTGTGACACTGAATCATCTTCCCCCAGGCTGGTTCAGAGTGGCCTGAGGAGATCATGTTGATCTGTTCTTTCCTGATACATCACCCCAAGATTTAGGCCAGCACAGAGAACAAGAAACGAGTGTGAGGTGTGTATGATGTGCATGACACTCTGATGAGAAGAGCTCTGGATTCCTGAGTCAGGAACATGTGTGAGTGGTGCAGGGTGAGGCTGGCTGCTTACCTCACCCTCCCTTTGTCTTGGTCACTTTTTTATTGCTGGAACAAAATACCCGATATCCACAACTTCAAGGAGGAAAGGTTTATTTTGGCTCATAATTTGTAAAGGTTTCAGTTTATAGTTAGCTGGCTCCAAAAGCTAGGCAGCAATGACTCAGGGGACCTATTTGTGCCATGGTAGAGAGGAAGCAAAGAGAGTCAAAGAAAGAGCCAGGGCAACCCCCCCCCCGGTGACCCACCTCTTCCAAGCAGACCCCACCTCCTAAGAGCAAAGCAGCTGTAAGACTCATAATCCATCTATCTTCTAAAACCTTCACCTATGTATTCATGAGGCTCTTGGAGGACTTCTCTAAGACAGAAACCATTAACACCCCTAGTGTACACAATCTGTTGTACAGATTGTGCCTACAACATGGGAGAGGAGCATTTGGAAAAATACTAATTTGGGTTCAGATATTGCCTTCACTTATTTTCAGTGATCCTAAGCAAGTCATATTGCCTTTACTTCAACTTTGTCATCTGATAATAAGGCTCAAAAGTGTAGTGAGCAGGTCTGGTGTCACTCCATGTACTTTACAGAATACTGCACAGTGTAATAAATTAGGAGTTGGGTGACATCCATGCATAATGTTCATGGAGGCACCTAGTGTTGTGCTAAGGGTCACAGGAGGAACAGGAAGAAAGAACAGCAGAGTTCTAAGAACAGAGCAATGATGTTCTATCCAGGGGAAGTAGTCATGGGCAAGGCTGTGAAGGAAGGTCAAGGGTACCAAGGAAATGAATAGTGGTCCGTGGTAGTTATCTACTGCAAGGCATCACTACTTTCAAAGTGACTGGCTGAAGACAGGAAAGATAATTACTTCTCACCACTCTGAGGCTTCTTCAAGGGTAGAGCATCTTCTCAGGTCTTGCTTGAGCAGCTACATTTGGCCAGTGTTTCAGTGAAGTCTTAGTCCTCTAGAGAGCACAGGATCTCTCTTTGCTTATGGGGAACACTGGTCCTGTCTCTATCTTGACAGTTCTTTCAGCATTCAATATTGGCTGGATTCCAGAAGAATGAGAGCCAAGCCTGTAAAGAATCAAGTCCTAAGTCACATAACTTAAGACACCATCACTTCTGCCTTCATTCATTTAAAAAAGTGAGTCAAGAGGCCAGGGCTGAGAGATAGACTCTTGTGAATCAGAGGAGCACCTATGTCATCTTACAAATGGTGGGAATACTTGGAGGGTACTGGTGAATACTTTATAAACAATATCAAAAGTATAAAACTGAAAACCTGGACAACATATACACTTACTCTAGCGTTCCCTGCATGGCTATGGTAAAGCTCATACAAACCATGGGCCCAAGCTCTGCCTCCCATGTCTGCTTTGTCTCCAGGTCTCAGTGCTCAGGTGTGGCAGTTAGGAGTTTCTGATGGATGGGCTTTGGGACAGAGCACTTCTGTGTGTCCCTGAATGAATTCTGGGGACATGGCTTTGGGGTCTGTGTCTGATTCATTGTTCCTTCTTCCCTGACACTCTTCCCCTACCCTGTTTCCTGGCCGCCATGAACTAAGCAGCTTTGATTTACTATTCCTTTCTTCCATAGTGTCTGTCTTGGGGCCAGCTGTCCTTGGACTGAAACTGTGAGCACATTAATCTTCTCCTCTACCTTGTGGTGTTAGGTATTGTGTCTCAGTGATGAGAGAGCCAAGGAATACACCTATCCATCCCCATGTGCCATGGTGAGCTGCTTAAAACATCTACCCATGTCCTTCTCCTGCTCCGAATCCTTCTGCTTCTAGGCTAAGGTTTGTATCCAGCACTCCCCATAGGATAATATGAGGGTGGCATAATAAAGAGACAGCTTCCTGAGCTCAGTGCTCTCTTCCCCTGGATATGAAAGTCTAAGTGAGGCATCAGGCATATGGACCAAAAGAGAGTCTTACCAGGGGCTGTCCTTAGCCCAGCCAACTTCCGGTGACCCTGCAACGGAAGGAGCAGGATGTGCATGCTCCAACCTGTGCAGTCCACATTGCAGGAAGAAATTATGTCTGTGGTGAAAGGTAGCTCCTAGCACAAAGAACAGGGCAGAGAATGGTCCTGAGGCATCAGAACCAGATAGAAGAGGTCCAACACTAGGTCCAAGCTGGAAATCTACCATTTACTACTCACTCCAGAGAGACACTCTGTGTCTCTCTTCCTCACTCCTCTTCCTCTGTCCATTGATTTTGACTTGTGACAAAGTAGAATATCATAGTAGGGTTAAGGTTAGGTTTTATTTTGCTCTTTCTAACTGAATGGACAAATATTGTGAATATAACAAGATATACTACGGTACCTATTACTGTTATGCCGATATCCTGCTGTGAAGTTCTGTACCAGTTTCACTGCATTGTCTTGATTAACTTTGTTCTGTTGTATTTTACAACCTCCAAAATAAAAAAAAAAGAAAGAAAGAGGAAGGGGTTGAGGTTACACATTCCCCTTCAAGAGCACAGTGCCACAGGCCTAAAGACCTCCGCCTGAGCCCTATTTCTTAAAGGTTATATCACCCCCTGTGTTATCATCCTGGGGACAAGCCTTTAATATTCATACTACTGGGGAGACACTTACTGAAATCATAGTACCATATATTCAGAAAAATCACAAATGCAAAAGAATCACACATTTTCAGAGTCAAAATATTCATGGTGCTACTTCTCTGGTCAAGGACAGAACATCACCAGTTCTTTTCACGCTGCTGCCAGCCTCAGATCCTCCCTGCAGTTCATTGCTATCCTCATTTGCTTTTAAACTTTATAAAAAGTGAGTCATATAGTACATGCCATTTTGAGACTGTTTAATTTGGCTTAAAATTATGCTTTTGAGAGTCACCCACATTACATGGAACTGTAGTGTCGTTCTCCTCTCAGTATAGTATTTCATGGAGGGGATATCCTACCATTTATCCATTTTATTCCAGAGAAGGGTTTGTACTTTTTTGTTTTGTTTTGTTTTTAAAGAGGATAAAATGAAGGAAAACCAAATGAAACAAAACCAATCAAAACAAAGCAGTGCAAGTGACACAGGACTTCAAAGCAATACAAAATCCACAATAGGTACCATAATGCCTCTTGCTGTCTCCAATATAGCTGCTGATACCTTCAGACATAATTAAAATCAAACAGAACAAAACAGAATAGAACCAGCAAAAACAAAACAATGAATGCAATAAAGGACTTCAAACCAAGACAACAGTAAATCCAAAATGGCTTCCACAATATATCTTGCTTTCATTGAAATAGCTGCTTATGTCATTTGATATTATAAAATCAAATAAAACAAAACAGAATAAAACCCAACCCAACAAAACAACACAGGACTTCAAAACAAGGTAGTAGGGAATGCAATATGGAATTAATAATGGCTGCTATGGCTGTGGCTTTCGTTGTTTGCATAGGCCATGATTGGCTGCCCCACCACGCCACACTGTTTGGATCCAACTGAGTATGGACTGAAACTTCCAAGGACTAGGCAGATCATCAAAAGGAGATGTGGAATTTAAAAATTAATCTTGAGGGGAAGCTGGGAAGATGGTGGATTAATAAGCAGTAAAAGAAAATGCCTTTCTAAGGCAAAAAGCTCTTCTGATGCTGGAATATGGTAGCCTGGAGAAGACCAGATGGAAGGAGTTGGATCCTCTCAACTCAGGACGAAACTAAAGTAGACAAAAGAAAGAAAAAACAATAGAAAAGAAAAATGTGAACAGAAGCCATACACGCTCTCACTGGAGCCAGTCTTTCTGTGTTCCAAATGTCACTGGAATCCAAAACGCATGGTCGGTGGGATTGGGGATTGGCAAGCCTGAATGCCTATGCAGGAGCAGGAGAGGAGTGTTGGACCAGAGATTTGCCTTGGCTCGAGGTGTGCGTGGTGAACTTAGTCCTCCCTCACAAGTGGTTGATTGTCTGGGTGACATTTTGGAGTTGGGTGGCATAAAGCCTGGAAGCAGAAGTGCAGCTGGCTTCATTCATCCAGTCCTACTGCAGAGCAGATTGGTGAGAATTGCTTGGAGTGATGTGGGAAGCCCTGTAATTGGCTGCCCCCTTATATCTGCAGGCCACAACACCTTAACTCCCTCTGGGAGTTAAGTTTGGTAGTTAAGCAGCTCCTTGCCTAGCCTGTTTGGCTCATGAAGGGATTATGCTAATCATACCGCCTTATGAGCGAGCGCAGGAAATTTGAAAATTTGAATGAACCTGTAACCCTCGGTCTTGCCACTGTTGCTAAGTTACCTGCTGACATCTCAGAACCCAATTCCTTCTTCACTCAACGCCCTATATATTTGTTACTCTTTCCTTGAATAAATGAGACTTCATCAGACTTCTGTCTTGTTTCCATTCTTTATATCT